GGATGTCCCTGTGCATCTGCACAGAGGAAAGGAGTAGCTTCCAAGCCGTCTAGTACTGCCTGGCTAGAAGGGGTTCCCAAGCCGAGAAAAGAAAAAGAAAACAAACAAACAGACAAATCGAAACAGAACAAATCAGAGCAAACAAACAAACAGAGAAAAAAGCCCCGGAGGTCCCAAAAGTGTGGCGGCACGGGCCGGGAGCAGTTTCACAGTTGAGTGGTGTTTTGCAGCCTTTCAGGAAGAAGGAAAGATGGCACACGGAGCCAGGTATTTGAGAGAAGGAGGGGGAGGTGGTGAGAGGTAAAGAAGAAATCTAAAGAAGTGGAAAAAAACACCAGCAGCCAACAAAAGGCACTCAGGGAGCCAGCCAGTGCAGGTGGGTGGAATCCAAGTGACATCGGGGTGAAGCTTGTGCTTTCCAGCCAAGGGACTGTGGCTGCAGGAAGCAGAGGAGGCCGAGCTGGGGTGAAGAAGGGTAGGGGGTGGGAAAGCGTATATCACTGGTTACCGGTTGTTCTGTCTCCTGCTGGAAGCTCTGTGAAGCTGCTTTCTCGTACCCCCTGTTTCGCTGATCTCCGATAGGAGTCTAAGATGGTGGATCCATGCTGCAGTAGCTGATGGGGACCTCTGCATGTATCTCTCCTCCCTCTCTGTTCTTGGTCAGTTTCTTACTCCATTTGGTGCTTGGCTGAGTTCCTTGTCTCTTCATTTGATGCTTAGGGTTTCAGGATTGACGTGTGACTCTGTTTAACTTAGTTTTTTGGATCTTTGCTGTGGAGGGATGGCATGGTTCTTCTGACTATAGCGCCATGTTGCCCAGAAGTCCCCTTTCATTTTTGATACTGGGAATTTGTATCTTATTTTAGCTGCTTAGTTTAGTTCCTTTTAAAGAACCAGCTATTGGTTTCATTGATTTTCCTCTGTTGTTTTTCAATTTTCTTTACTGTTGTTTTCTGTTCTATCTTTATTATTTCTCCTCTGTTAACTTTGAGCTTAATTTGCACCTATTTTTCTAGTTTCATAAGGTAGAAACTTAGATGATTAATTTGAGAGCTACTTGCTTATTAACATCAATGTTAATGCTATGAATTTCCCTCTAATCACTGTTTTAGCTGCATCCTATAAATTTGATACGTTGTTTTCACTTATGTCAGTTGAAAATATTTTCTAATTTTCCTTGTGATTTCTTCTATGACACATTGGTTATTTACAATGGTTTCATTTAATTTCTAAATATTTGTGGATTTTCCACGTGACTTTCTGTTACTAACTTCTGGTTTAATTCCATTGTGATCAGACAGCAGACTCAATGTTACTTCAGTCCTTTTCAATTCCCTGAGATGTGTGCTGTATCCTGGAATAGAGTCTATCTTGATGAATGTTTTGTGTGCACTTAAAGAGAACTATGTAGTATGTTATTATTGGATGGAATGGTCTATAAGTGTCCATTAGATTGGTTCATAATGTTATTCAAGTTTTCTATATCTTTGCTAAAATTTTTCTACATGTTCTATAAATTACTGAGAGAAGAGTGTTGAAATATTCAACGGTAATTGTGTATTCATCTATTTCTCCTTGCAGTTTTATCAGTTTTTGCTTCATATATTTTATTGTTGTTGTTGTTGTGTGCTGTTGAGTTGATTCCGACTCATAGCGACCCTATAGGACAGAGTAGAACTGCCCAGTAGGATTTCCAGGGAGTGGCTGGTGGATTCTAACTACTGACATTATGGTTTGCAGCCTGAGCTCTTAACCACTTCTCCACCAATTTTGGAGCTCTGTTATTAGGCACGTAAATGCTTAAGATTATTATGGCCTCATGATTAATTGACAGTGAGGCTCATATTATGTGCATACCTGTACGGTATTGTCCTATGGCTCATTGGTGCTCTATTCATTTTTTTCCTTATTTTTTCTGTGTTTCTATTGCTGCATCATCAAGATCACTTATATTTTCTTCTGCAGTGTCTAATCTGATGTTAATCCCAATCAGTGTGTTTTTTCATTTTGTAGCTTGTGTCTTTCATTTATAGAAGCTTTATTTGTGTCTTTTTAATATCTTTCATTACTCTCCTCATCGTGTTTATGCTTCCCTTTACCTTCTTGAACACATGGAGTACACTTATAGTAGCTGTTGGAGCAACTTTGTCCTCTAATTCTTCACCTCTGTCATTTTACTGTCTCTCTGTGTACATTATGGGCCATATTTTCCTGTTTCTTTAAATGTCTTGTAAATTTTGTTTGAATGCCAGACATTATGAGTTCTACATTTGGTATGAAAATTTTTGTGCAGGTCCAAATCTGTGGTCTTGCCGATATCACTCTTCTGTACAATTTGCATCAGGGGTGGGTAAATTACAGCCACAGCCAGGCCAATCAGGCCCATTCACTGATGTGCTTGTCTGTGGCTGCTCCTAAACTTCAACAGCAGAGTTGATTCATTGTGACAGAGACCATACAGCCTGCAAAGCCTAAAACATTTACTCCCTGTGCCTTTACAGAAAAGGATGCTGTTCTAGAAGAATATTTTTATGTAAAATAGCATATCATGCATTCTTTGTGTTCAAGTGGGATGGAAAGCTATTAACTTAATAGTGTCTCTTAGAGAATACTTGTCTTAACTATAGTGTATTTTGCTTTTTTTTTCCTTCTTAGATCCACTTCTACTCTCCAGTTATTTCTGTTGATGAGCCAGAGGCTTGAAACTGTCCTTTCCCTGCTCAATGGCTGATCTGTACTTTTTGCCCAAAGCAAGCACCCCAATGAATGAGGTAAGTATCTATATTATTTTTGGCTGAGAGTTTAATTTTTGTTAATTGTGACTGCTTTAAAATTGCACCACAGTTAACTCTATCTTCATTTACTTTCCAGGAACCAATGAATTCCAGCAACATAAATGATTACTTTGGGTTAACTGATATGGAATATTCAGTGGATGGTGAGACCTCTCCATGTTCCTTGGGGGAGGTCAGAAAATTCTCCAGTTTATTTGTGCCAATTGCTTACGCCTTGATATGCATCTTTGGCCTACTGGGAAATATTTTAGTGGTGATCACCTTTGCTTTTTATAAGAAAGCCAAGTCGATGACAGATGTTTATCTCTTGAACATGGCCATTGCGGACATACTGTTTGTCCTTACCCTCCCGTTCTGGGCAGTGAATCACGCTAGCGGAGCGTGGTATTTTAGTAATGTCATGTGCAAACTGACCAAAGGCATCTATGCCATCAACTTTAACTGTGGAATGCTGCTCTTGACCTGTATCAGCCTGGACCGGTATATTGCTATTGTACAGGCAACCAAGTCTTTCAGGCTCCGATCCAAAACGTTAGCACACAATAAGGTCATCTGTTTTGCAGTGTGGGTGGTATCCATCATCATTTCCAGCTCCACGTTCATCTTCAGTCAGAAGTACAGTATGCAAGGTGTCGATGTCTGTGAACCCAAGTACCACAATGTCTTGGAGCCCATCAAATGGAAATTGCTGATGTTGGTGCTCCAGCTGATCTTTGGTTTCTTCATCCCGCTGATGTTCATGATATTCTGCTACACATTTATTGTCAAAACCTTAGTGCAAGCCCAGAACTCCAAAAGGCACAAGGCCATCCGTGTGATTATAGCAGTTGTTCTGGTGTTTCTGGTTTGCCAGACCCCCCATAACATGGTACTTCTTGTGACCGCTGTAACTATGGGCAGGACGGACAGAGCCTGCAGTAGTGAGAAGCTGATTGGCTACACCAAAACTATCACCGAGGTCTTGGCTTTTCTGCACTGCTGCCTCAACCCGGTGCTGTATGCCTTCATTGGCCAGAAGTTCAGAAACTACTTCCTGAAGATCATGAAGGACCTGTGGTGCGTGAGGAGAAAGCACCAGTCCACCGGCTTCTCCTGTTCCAGGATGTACTCAGAAAGCGCCGTCTCCAAACAGACCAGCGAGACAGTGGACAATGAGAACGCGTCGTCCTTCACCATGTGATGTGCTGTGCAGAACGAAGCATTCCCTTCTGTGGGTTGTGAAGCCTGTTATTAGATGTTATGCAAAAAATAGTCCATAGCCAAATACATATGAGAAATGTGGAAATTCAACAAAACTAAGCAGATGTTTCTACTGCAGGACCAGAGACGGAGTGTGGCGTGCTAAAGGGCAGGAGGGGTCTCTGCATGGCGAGGCGTGGGAGGGCTCCACCATGTAGGGTTTCCCAAATTTACTTAAAAAAGAATGCTTTGTTGCTCTGGTGGATCTTACAGGGCTGGTGTTCCACAAAACAGGCTTTGGGAAATGCTGAACTAAAATGAATTATTTACAAATTTGAAGTTTTAGAATTACTCATGAAGCGGCCATTGTCCACAATTACTTGTGGCCCTGGCACAAAACAACAATATGGTTTGACAAACCCGAACAGGAAAACAAACACAAAATCCTTCACCTAACTCAATTTTGAAAAAAAGTTGAATGTTTTTGCTCATGAAAATGTTTACCATGGCCAAATATAAATGATGAAACAGACTGGCTTGAGTCTCTCTCATTTTCCTTTGATACACTCAGCAAGCGTGAGATCGTGAAAAGGCAGAAGGAAAACAAGCTCAAGGACTCACAGTGTACAAACGGTGGCTGCATTCGTCACTGTGGATACAGCAGTTCAGGCTGTGACGGCCTTCAGAAGAAGTATAAACATGTTTGTACTTCCCGGAGAAACTGTTCTCTGTAAGTGGTGACTCGCCCGTAAACGTCTGTTGGACAAAGAGTTCTATCAAGGCAGGAACTACAGCGGTTTTGTCCACAGCTGTGTCCCAGGTGTCTAGCAGAGTTTTGGGCATACAGAAGAAGCTTAAGGAATATTTAGCGAATCATAACAAAATTGGAGTTTTTAGTGCAGTGTGAAGTGTTAGGTGTTTTTATTTTATTTTGTATAAATAGAATAGTTTCTAAAAGAAGAAGAATGAAGCTTTCTTGGGACCCTATAGAAAGAACTCAGGCTTCATTCTCATTATAGAGCTGGGGAACCATGAGGAGCTGAGGATTTTTGGTCGTTAAGGGGTTTCCAGCTTGTGTATAGCTAGAAAAATTTCAACTTCTGATATTGATTTTAAAGTGGCATCACCCAATGTTTGAGGTCAGCTATGAAATCACATTTTAACAACTCTCTTCAGCTCCACAGAACTCAAGTATTTTTAAAGTGCTGTGTAAATACACGAACCCAGGTGGGAAAATATCCACGTGTGTTACAAAAACACAAACACGTATCACAAAAGTACTGACATGTTTCATTCTGACGAATGTGCTATCTGAGGCTCGATGTTGTTTTTGTAATCTTACCTCCGTCCCCATGTAAAACTCCAAATTTTGCCCTGAGATTCAAAGTCTGTGTTTTTCAGAAATAAAGCTACTCTATGTGTGGAGAAGGAGTCAGCTTGAATTCAGCGCTCAGACCGAGGGGATCACTGCCCTGAGTGGGGCGTTGGGGGGGCCTCCCTTCGTCCTCACAGGCCTGTCAGCATTCGGCTGTGGGGTCAGCGAGGGGACTCCCAGACCCTCCCAGTGTGTCCGAGTGCACTGACGGGATCTGTCAAAAACGTTTTCTGTTTGAAGATCGGCCCAGAAACATCTCGCTTACTTGGCACGGGAGGGGACTGAGTTACAGGGAATGAAACCTGCGAGAGCCGGAACTCTATGGGCCGTGCTTTTCCGGCTCTCGCAGGTTTCCCGCCTTTGGCAGGGTGCACGCTGACCATATTTCTATTGCTCCTTTTAGTGGGAAATATTTGCGTTTTCCTTCTCTGACAAGTTTCCGCCTTACACAGCTTCCGCCTTTCGCGTGTTTTACTGTATTATGTGTGATTTAAATTTTCAGATCCATGAAGCATGTTCTTTAAGCGCTAGCCCTTTAAAGATGTCGACCTTAGTGAATAAAGATGTTTCTAAAATGTACGGCATTCTTTCTTCTTAGATACAGGACGCTGGGCGGCCCCGTCTTGTCGTGCTCCTCGGGGACTCGGAACAGGTGCAATGCTACCTGCTTGGTGCTGGCCCCTCCAGAGACACTGGGCAGGGTGGGCGCATGTGGCTTGCCGGTGGGAGCTGGGACCCCCGTTTTGCCCGTGCATTTGTGTAAACAGGCCATCCGTGAGCTGGGAATCAGGGGGCCTCTGCTGCCCCATTTTCCAAGCACCTAGGACACCCCATCTGCTTCCTGAACGCTGCAGGAAGGGTGGGGCTTTACGTTTCCTTGTACGTGCTTTGAACGTCACCGTCCCCACAAAGGGTAATTCCTCTGATGGGCTCTGAAGCCTGCTGGTTGCTGTATGGCGGGCACTGCCGCTAGCTTCAGGGACTGGAGGGACACGGAGGAGGCCTCATGTGGGTAAAGATCACCCTCGGGTAAAGGAGGGGAGAGCTCACTCTCCACACTCTGGGATTCAACCTGCACACCTGTAACGTCTGTTGCAAGCTGCCAGATGGCATTCACACTTTCCTCCTTGAGTTGCACTTACTAATAGATGTATGTATATATATTGACGTCCTATTTAGGTAAATCCATAAGAGAGATAAAGACAAAAATCTGTCTTTTCTAACTTTTGGTTTATTTCTCTCACACATTAGAGTCCAGGTAGACAGTCCAGGACAATAAACAGAATGCTGTTCTCCTTAACTCCTGGCCCAAAGGGGCTGCTCTGGCTCTCTCCATCACACATGCATCCAGCCAACAGAAAGAGAAAAACAGGGGAAGCAGACGACCTTTTCCTTCTCTCTAAGGGCACAGCTTGAAAGCTGTGGACACCATTCCTGCTCTCATCCCATTGGTCTGAAATTAGTCATATTGTCACAGTAGGTGCAAGACAAAATGGGAGATGTTGGCTTCAGCTGGGTGGCCATGTGACCACATTAAAATCTTTTACTATGGAGGAAGGGAAAATGGCTGTCAGGAAAACAAACCTCAGTGGAAGGAAGAGCAACCATACTACTCGCTTGAAAGAAGAGGGAAGCCACAAATTCAACCACTAAAACCAGTGGATATCAAGTCGATTCCGACTCGTGGTGACCCTGAGTGTCAAACTACAGCTGTGCTCCACAGGGTTTTTAACAGCTAATTTTTCGGAATGAGATTGCCTGAACTTCCTTCTGAGGTACCTCTGGGTCTACTTGAACCTCCAACCTATCAGTTAGCAGCTGAGCGCATTAACTGCTTGAGCCACCCAGGGACTCCATAAATTGTAAATAGGTACTTAAAGCTGCAGGAAAGGAAAAAAGAGCCCAACTAGCTAACGGTTTCAGGAAAGTGACCTAAGAAGAGCCGGGCGCTGATAGGGACGAGAGCCTAGCTGATGCAGGCGAGGAGAAAGGGCTCCGCACGGAGGTGCTGCCCGCGACCCCCCGGGTGGCTCCTACGAGCAGAGGCCTTTCATGCCATATTTCACCAGCGACCACCCCAGAACCTGAAACTGCACATCTAAACTTTCAGAGCAAGAATACTAGTAAAAATAGCTTTGTTTTCTGCCTCATTTTGAAAGATTTACTGTATTCTTTAATTGTTAATGACATTTGAGGCCCCTTTTCTGACCCTACAGTGTAAATAGATGAATGAGTACATGTCTTCCCACTAGTAGCGAGCAAATGCATTTATGATCTGTTGCAAGGTGGTTGAGACTTCCTTACTTCACCCAAGGCCTGGGGGTGGGGGATTACGGTGATCTGTAGGCGCTTCCGGTTTACTTTAGCGATGAGCACCGCTGCCCTCTAGTGGACCCAAGCTGCACTCACAGGTCACAGAAACAGCCTCTCCTGAGGCCAAAATGCTAAATGAGGAGAAAAATTTTGAAGTTCGTTTTAAAACCCAAATGTATGATATTAATATAGGATATTATACCCAGTCTTTTTTTAAAGGGGATGAAGTCCTTAGAAATATTAACTTGAATAGTCTGACTGCAATATTGCTGCTGTTCAATTTTTTCTTATTGTTGAAATGGACTCGACAGCAACAGATCTGGCTTAGTTTCGGTTTAATATTCATATCAAAGTAGAAAGGATCCTGACTTATTTTATTATTATTATTGTTACCATTGTTTTGCTATGTGACTACCTAGATTTTGCTCATTTGTTGTTATTGTAATTGTTTTTGGTCATAGTCTATATGAATGTGTGTATGAACGCATGCATATTAGTATATATACATATACATCTCTACATATACCCGTATACATATCTTTAGGGTATGTATTTTAGCACAATTTTTTAGGATATTATAACTAACATAGAAAAGATTTTAAAAAGGAGAAGAAATGTAAGTAATCTCTGCTCACCAGAATTTAATTATAAAATTTTAATATTAAACAAAAACCTCAATTTTCCAGCTTTCTAAGTTCTGGGCATATCAGAATCTGCTTTGCCCTAATTGCTAGGACATCAGAGGAGCAGGAGTGGCATTTGGGTTGGGGGGCATCCCCCTGGAAACTCTGCTGCTCCGGCCCACACAGTGGGTCTGGGTGGGGCGGTGGTGGTTCTGCTCCGAGACGCCCAGTCAGCACTATTTCATGCTGGAACAGCAGCTTGGCCTCCTGGGTGTCGGGCCTTCTCACAGGGCTGTTGCTCTATTGCAGATCTTATTCCACTGATGTCCATCCAGCACCCAAGCACACGACTGAGCACCCTACACATCGCCCCCCAGTGACCCGGCGTCCTTGCCTCGTTCAGGTTTATCAGCAGAAAGTGGCAGATCCGTGAGAGATTTGGTGAGCAGGGCCTCTAGGGCTGCAATTAAGGAGATACGTGGGACCTTGTCAGCTACCTCGATGGCCATTTTACCCCTTTACATTGATTCCACTCAGTCAGCTATAGATCACTTAATCGATGTGGTTGATAAATGATAGATACCAGTTACCATCGGGTTGATTCTGACTCATGGTGACCCCATGTGTGTCAGAAAAGACATGTGCTGCATAGGGTTTCTGATGGCTGACTTTTCAGAAGCAGATCACCAGGCCTTTCTTCTGAGGTACCTCTGTGTAGACTCGAACCTCTAACCTTTTGGTCAGCAGCTGAACGTTTTCTCCATTTGCACTACCAGTGACTCAGTGCCATCGATAGCACCCACCAAAGTCCAAGACTCCCCGTCTTCCCGAGGGCCCAGCTGGACCACGTGCCCCAGCTTTCTGCGGGACAGTGAGGCGGCGTGGCGAGGCTCTGGCCACAATATGTGAGTAGAAATGAAGGGCACCACTTCCAGCCTGGCCCATATGACTCTCGGGGGAGTGCTCTCCTTGCTTGTTCCACTTGGTTTGTTCCAGGGACACTCTTTCCTACTCTCCTTCCCTCACTCCCAGAGGTTTGCTTTCCTCCCATTCATACTCCTCAGCTGACTGTGAATGACACCATCAGATGGGGGCTCTGCTCTGCTCCATGAGAATTCTCCAACCCTCCCTGCCTTGGACTCTTGGTAACCTTGTTCCCTCTTCTGATAGGGAAAGCAACCCTCCCCGTCAAAAGCCAACTTCCCATCCTCACTCTGGTCCTGTCTGTGGGAGATTGGATTATAGTCTAGATTCCACACTCCCCATGGGAGTGTTGAACACCCACACATCCTTGCTGTGGCCTCTTGGTGGGTCAAGTATACCTCTGACCCGTGGCTTTGGACTTTGCCACATGATGGAACAGATAAGGCATCTGAAGTAGGCATGGAGCTCCATTTCTGCATTTGTGAATTAACTAGACAAATATTTATAGACTGAATGACCATGTGCTAGGTGTTGGCCATGTAACGGTGAGAAAGATGTACTTCTTGGCCTGATGATGTTTCGTCTCTAGGTGAGGACACGTTATAAAAGTAAAATGTATATAATGGGTGGATGAATGGATGGGTGGATGAGTCGATGGATGGATGGGTAGATGAGTAACGAATGGACGGTTGGATGGATGGATGGGTGGGTAGATGAGTAGATGGTTAGATGATGAATGGATGAATGAGTGGATGGATGAGTGGATAGATGGATGAGTGGATGGATGGATGGATGGATGGTTGGATGGATGAGTGGATGGTTGGAAGGATGGATGGGTGGATGGGTGGATGAGTGGATGGATGGATAGATGAGTGGATGGGTGGATGGGTAGATGAACTGACTGGTAGATGAGTGGATGAATGGAAGGGTGGATGATTAGATGGATGGATGGGTAGATGAGTGGATCAATGGCTTGCAAATCTTCCAGTTGACAAGAAGAGCTGAAAATCTAGATTTTTGAAAATGTGGAGTCTCACTCTTTTTCAAACTGAACATAATTAAAAAATTTTAAAGTGATTTGTTTGTGTGTCAGGCTGATTTCTTGGCTTAGGCTGACTTTTTGCCTGTGATGCATTTTATCAACACCCCATTAGAGCAACTACAAATGCTTCATATCTTTTTTGTTATTCACTGTAACCCCCTAAAGCGTGAGTTCTTTGGGCTCAGGGACCATCTTTTCAACTCGATATGCCTCGTGCCCAGAAGAGCAGAACTGGACTGCAGGAGGGTCTCAGCCGTTTTCTCTTTTCTCTGTAAACACTTCAGTCCAACCTCAATGCCAGCACTAGTGTTCGCAGTTGTTGACAAGAAGGGTGTGGGTCCCAGGCACTAGTGAAAGGACCCAGAGAGATCAAGGGTAAGATGCGTGATTTTGTTTAAACCAAGGTTAGTACCGTAAACTGGGCCCTGCGGCAGGATGAAGACACGTGCTCTCGTCTGTGTTTATTCCGAATGCAGTGTTTCTCAGAGAAGCAAATCCAAAGCCTTGTGGTGGGAGCGGTGTCACCCCATGTTTAGAAACCACAGGCCTGTACTCCTGCGCCCTGCCTGGAGATTTTCATACCCCGCTCACCCACCCTTGGGTGCTGAGGGATTTGTCAATATTTTGTAACTGAAGAAGGGACCCTGGGCCAGCACTCACCAGGCAACTTCCCCACTGAGGCGTCTCCAAGCTGTTTACAGCTCCTGTGGTTACAAGGAGGGATCCCTGGTGGCACAGTGGTTAAAGTGCTCAGCTGCGAACCAAATGGTCGGTGGTTCGAATCCAGCAGTGCTCCTCCGGAGAAAGATGTGGCAGTCTGCTTCTGTAGATTGCAGCCTTGGAGACCCTATAGGGCAGTTCTCCTCTGTCCTGTAGGGTCGCTGTGAGTTGGCATCGACTTGATGGGAGTAGGTTTGGTGGTTTGGTTGTTTACAAGAGCAGGACAATCGAGGCCAGCGGAGCTCTGGAGGGGATCTTGGTCAAGGTGGGATGGACCGCAGGTGCTAAAGGTGGGTCAGCTGTCATCAGGGCCCCTGAAAGGCGTTCCCACCAGGAGGAGCTCGAGAGGCGTCTGGATGTGAGTGGGCAAAGATCTCCACGTCCTCTTCATCCACCCAGTCCTCTTCCACCCCACAAGGACGGCAGGGCTCCTCGTGTGCCCCTCTGCTAATGAACCTGCCCATTTCCCTCGGCCTGCCTACCTCCGCACACATCCCTGTGATGACAGGTGAAAATCTGATTTTCAGGTCACTTGATTACGAAGCCAGCGCGGTTCCCAGTGAATCTTGCCTGTGCCGTTGGAGGTCTTTGTTTCCCCCTCGTTTTCAACAGTTCTTACCTTTGTGTCGGCAGGAGAAACAGCCCGTGTGCTTTCCAGGCAGCTGGCTCTTAGAATTGTACGACGCTGGTGTTTGAAATGTTTTAAACAAAATATGTTAGAATAAAATAAAAGCTCTAATTGCTTTTCATGTCTGGAAGGTAAATTCCAGAACAATGGGCTTGATATGATGTAGCAGGGCTGGCCACCAGCGGCTCAGTGGGAGAAAAGATCTGGCGATCTGCTCCTGTAAAGATTACAGTCTAGGAAAGCCTGTGGGGCAGTTCTACTCTGTCCAGCAGGGTCACTATGAGTCAGAATCAACTTGATGGCAACAGGACTAACCTAATAGATTTACAACTAACCTAAAGGTTGATGGTTTGAATCCACCCAGCGGCTCCACAGGAGAAAAGACCAGGCAATCTGTTCCCCATAAGATCATAGCCCAGGAAACCCTGTAGGGCAGTTCTACTCTGTCCTATAGGGTCGCTATGAGTTGGAACCTACTCGACGGCTCACAACAACAGCTGGGTTGGGGTCTTTAAAAATAAACGTGTAGATCACTTCAGAGTTTTAGTAAAAAAAAATAAGAACAAAATAACTAAAAAGTTGGAGGATTTGTCACAGCTGAGGAGTTTTCCTGGCCACTTGATCTTTATTCCTTTGCCTGAGCCAGGCTGTTCTCCAGCTCGAACGATTATTTCCCTAAAACACGTTAATTTTCTTTAGAACACCCGGTGTCTCCCTTCCCCGAGTTCGGTTTCATAGAGGGTTTCTTTGGCTGATATTAAATTAAAAATTAAAATAAAAGTTGATTAATTAAAATAAAAAATTTAAAAATGATTCCTGTTTTTAACCGTGTCTTTAATGTGTCTGAGCTGACACAGGCACTGAACTCAGCATCGGTGATTTGTGCCCACCTGTGTCAGCTGGGTAGCTTTGTGTCGCTGTTCAGCTCTTGCTAAATGAAAAAAAGTGTCATATATATATGTAGATAATAGTTTAAGCTTTTCTAGGCCCAGTCCAGAGGTCAGAAATCAACGCCTACTTTCTCTTGCTGATTTTTTTTGTTGTTTAATCAGAATACACAAAGCCCTGGTGGCACAGTGGTTAACTGCTCGGCTGCTAACCGAAAGGTCGGCGGTTTGAACCCACCAGCTGCTCCTCAGGAGAAAGACCTGGTGATCTGCTCCCATAAAGAAAACCCTCTGGGGCAGTTCTACTCTGCCACGTGGGGTTGCTATGTGTTGAAAATTGACTCGAAGGCACCTCACAACAACAACAAGCGTACTATACAAATATAACCGGAGCTCGAATTGTGCGAATGTGTTACGAGAATGATTTGGTTTGATCTAGAACTGAAACCAAACGCCACAAGGTCTGGGGACCATGTAAGCTTTGGGGACTGTACGGAAGCTGGTTTAGAAAGACTGAGTAGGAAGTTCTGGAAGTCCATGAGCTGAAGAGCATGTTGGGCGGAGGAGTGAGGGGTGTAAGGACAGGAGGACAGAGGGGGTTGAGTTCCAGGTCACAGTACGGAATAGGGGCAGGAAGGAGGTGGGAGTGAGAGGAACCAGCATGACAAAAACGGAAATAAAGTGATAAAGGTCAGTCTTTGGAGAAGGTGCACCCCCAGGGGTCGCTGCAACTTTGGCGGTAGATACAGGAAGGGAGACTGAACCAGTGCTGGGAGCACAGTCACCCACAGATGAAGATTCACAAACCTACAAGCTTCAGGGACCAAGAAAGGACACGGATGAGCGGGCTGGGGGCGCAGGTGGTGGAAACAGGCCCCTCCTCGTCTCCTCAGCCTGGCCCTGGGCTTGTCCGAATGGGCACCACAGTCGGCCAATCTTCTGGTCATCAAGAAGACCTGAACATCTTGCTTTATTTTTTTTTCTATTTTTTGAATTTTATTATTATTATTTTTTATTGTAGTTCAGGTGAAGGCTTACAGAACAAGTAGTTTCTCATGAAACAGTAGTACACATATTGTTTTATGACGTTGGTTAACAACCCCACAACATGTCAACCCTCTCCCTTCTCGACCCTTTTTTTTTGGTGAAAATATACATAACTGAAGATAGACCATTTCAAAAATTTCTACATGCACAGTTCAGCGACACTGACTACGCCCTTCCAGTTGTGCTGCTATTCTCACTTTAGATGAGGCTTACAGAACCAAATAGTTCCTCACTGAACAGTTAGTACACACGTTGCCCTATGACAATGGTCAACAATGAACATCTTGCTTTTTAAAATTCAGTATCTCACTCTCACTCTTTAAATATAATTTTAAAACAATTTCTGAGCCAATCAAAACATACGTGTAGGCTGACTTTTTTAGCCTTTGGGCAGCCAGTTAGAGTTCTGGGATATTTCTAAAACTCCAAGCCATGGCCAATACTTTGACCATCTCTACATGGTGAGTAGACTGGATACTTCCCACGAGGGCTGCCGAGCCCGTCGGGCAGTGACGTTGGTTAACAACCCCACAACATGTAAACCCTCTCCCTTCTCGACCTTTTTTTTTTTTTGGTGAAAATACACATAGCCGAAGATACACCATTTCAAAAATTTCTACATGCACAGTTCAGTGACATTGACTACACTCTTCCGATTGTGCTGCTATTCTCACATTAGATGAAGGATGCATGAAAGGTGAGAACTCTCCCTCTGAACTGGCAATGCCCCCGGATCGTGAAACCTTTTAATCCAAAGCCTCTCAAAGGATGACTGTAGCAGAGAACACGCTTTGCGGAAGGCTGCCTTATCCACTTAATCTTTACGAGAACGCTACTGGGTGAGTGTTATGATCCCCGTTTAATAAACACGGAACAGGGAGGTGTGTTACCTGGGTCAGGTTATAAATTCTGAGCTGTCAATGGAGGAGCAGGAATTTCAGCCCGAGAATGTCTGGCTTCCTGCAGTGTCCGCCACAGCGTGCTGCTCTTATTTTCCGTTCTTGAGAAATTCAAGACCTTGTCTTCAGTTACCCTCTAGTTACTAAAAGCTCACACTTCAAAGCATCTTGCTGAGTTTCCTCTGGGCCACTGGACTTGGCTGGCTTTTCCGTGGCCTGTAAGAAACCTTGACTGGAGGATGTTTTTGTGAGTTTCTAGAAGGTGCACAGGATGCTTTGGGGCTGGCAAGAGGCAGTGCTGGCAGGAGGCGGTTGTTGGCGCCCAGGCTTCTTCCACCTCCCTGGGCTGAGCCTTGGAGGCTGTTCTCCTGCCAACCCTTCTGTGGACATTTTCCTGTCGGGGTCTGCAGGAAATTCTCATCTGCTTTGTTTGGTATATTTCAGTTTTGTCCCAGTCTTCTTGTTGCATGTGTGACACGAGGTGGGAGGGAAGAAGACATGTAATCCCCAGGACTGATGGCTGGCACACACAGAGAGGAGAGGGTGCAGTAAAGCCGTGGTGTGCTACAGAGGCAATAGTGAAGTGCCCAGGAATTGGGCCAGCCGGGTGTTACACCTGCTGGTACCTTAAAATCAGCCATGGGGGAGTATTTATACCACAGAAAATGGCAGATGCTACAAAGCAGAAGTGGTCAAGGATTTCATTCCACTTGGACCAACAATCAATGCCCATGGAAGCAGCAGTCAAGAAACCAAATGACCTACCGCATTGGGCAAATCCACTGCAAAAGACCTCTTTCAAGTGTTGAAAAGCAAAGATGTCACTTTGAGGACTAAGGTGCGCCTGACCCAAGCCGTGGTGTTTTCAATCACTTCATATGCATGTGAAAGCTGGACAATGAACAAGGACGACTGAAGAAGAATTGAAGCATTCAAACTGTGGTGTTGACTAGGACTATATATATTTTTTATTTTACAAAATTGTTATGTATTTTATTGAAATGGTTATTCTCTCAACATCCACATCATTCCACCTGCATCTTCTTTCTACCAAATTTTTTCCTCTGCCGTTTACTTTATTCTCTGTTTTTGTTTGTTCCTTATTAAAGAAGGAAGTTTTTTTGACTTGCAAAGTCAATAGGATATAATTTGAAACCAATAATGTCTCTAACTTTTTCTTGAGCGCAGGGCCTGCATTACGTGAACCAAAACACCTTACTCAAAGAGAAGTGCAGTATCATTGCTGAGCTCTCGGCACTTTCTCTCTCAGACCCTTCTGTTCCTTAGAATTTCTCAGCTCTTAGATAGTAACCTGTCTTGGAATTTGTTGTAGATTTCCAGTGTGAATCGATTTCCAAATTAATCTGGTTATTCAATTGATATTTTAGTCTTCAAATAACTAATATCTTTAAATAATTTATACCTCCTTTTCATGCAGAGGGGACTGATTCTTGCTTTCAAAGGCATAGGCAGGAAACCTTACGTTCAAAGGTAGCAAGTAATGGTAAGAGCAAATTGCTAATGATGGTACAGCTGCAGCCTCCATACTGTACTTTTTTTTGGCTCAGGTACTCTAGGACTGAGAATTCTCAGAATTACACAGCGGAAGCGTTACATTTCTTGGATCACGCACTACCAAAAGAATAAAAATGTAGTCAGAGTAAGGGGTTTTATATCTTACAATGAGGCAGGGTTCCTAAAAGAACCTTTCCAAATATGCTCAAAACCAAAAACCAAACCCATTGCCGTCAAGTCGATTCCAACTTACAGCGACCCTGTAGGATAGAGTAGAACTGCTCCATAGGCTTTCTAAGGCTGCAAAGAAATCCTTACAGAAGCGGACTGCCACATCTTTCTCCCAAATATGCCCGTCCTCTAAAATTAAATTAATAGCAGACATTCTTTATGTTTCATCCTCAATGTCTCCTATTTCCCACCTTTTTTGGTGAAAGATAGCATTCTGATTAAAACTTTCACCCAAGAGTAAAACCCTGTTTTTTAAAGGATCTTAGAAGGAAATACATTTACATTGTGTGAGGGCACTAGGGTGAAAATGAAGTGTAGGAATGAAACATCCGAGGGAGGGCAAAATCCCAGATCAGCCTTTTCTCTTTAGCATCTGATTTCCATTTCAAAAGCAATACTTCCATTACCGTATTCAGTATTACTCTTTCCTCTAGCCCGCTGCCCTTTTTAATAAGAAGATGTTTGCTCTACCTATGTTGTAATTGACACTGAGCTAGAGTCCTTACAGAGCTATTTCAGGTCCAGCATCCATGCCATAGATAGCATAGTAGTCAAAACTATTAAAAAGGCAAGGTATTGTATTGAAGGCTGCTTTCTTTTTATTTTTTAGACGCCTTTCTTCCCGCATGAATCAGCTCTTCAGATAGCTATCCTGGTGAATCATTTCTGCTAACTCCTTCCAACATGCTGACAACTGAAATGTTAACAGGCTCCGCCCAGCCCACCCTCGCCACCCACTAGTTCTCCTTAAAACATCTCTACACTTGATGTTAGTTCCCCTTCCTTCCGGTTCAGAGCTAGACTTCCTTGGAGGCTGAGGCTGAGAAAATGCTGAATTTCTATCTCAACCTCTCGGGAGAAGACTGATCATGACATATACTTGCAATGCCATCAGGAAGTGTTGCTAATCCCTGATCTTCTTGATAATTTAAGGCCTAAAATCAAAAGTGCCAGATGCATATTGTTTTTCTAAACTGAAAGAAATAGAACAAGCTCAAAGTATGGTACAATGCTAAACTTCTTTATGCCCCTCCTGGACACATTAAGAGAAACAGGTCTATTCTCCTTCTCTGTTTCAATCAATCTTGACATTCTGGTTTCATGTCTTCTCAGAAAGAAGAGACTATAATGGTATGTCAGGTGATCTTTCAGCATCCCTAAAAGATCTCTTTATCTCTAGATTTCTTTCTAAGGACATTGTTAAATGACATGCAGAGAATGTTTTCTTCTTCCAGAGATATCCAGGAGGGAAATCCTTAGAGACATTTGATTTGATGGAAAATCCACAATTGTTCCAGTATATATTTCTGCTGTTTGTCAGTGATCCTCGGAAGATCATTAAGATGGAATGTTCTTCACAGTCCCTTGTACGCATTTTGGTCTCATTTTTTAGTTCTCATTTTGGCATTCAATATACATAGGAAGGTTAGTAGTGGATAGAGTGGGAGAAACTCAATCTTCTCCATCTCCCACTATTTCAACTTCTTTTGAAATTAATATCCAAATCTTACGGCATGTGAAGTCAAGTCAGAGTAGAAGAGACATGTTTTCTTTTATGGAGTTTCTCAGAAGTGGTAAGCCTAGAACCTGGTGCAGATAGGTGTAGTATAAGGCTGTGGGTTCTGCTTGACTCTGAATAATCACAATAAACCAGTAAGTTTGCAGAAATGCATAGAAAATTTACAAACAACCCCCATTTCTTCTTGACAACTGTGAATCCATAGACTCAGAGAGCAGGGTAGAGGCGACCCGCGACTAGGGAGAGGGGTGGGGGATTATTGTTCCACCTGCACGGTTTCTGTTCGGGGTGATAAAGACCTGGAAATAGTAGCGATGGCCACACAACACTCTGAATGCAGTTGACACCACCAGGTGGCGCATTCAAAAGTGGTCAAAATGGTGAATTTCATGTTATGTACATCTTACCACGATTAAAGAAAACAAGCAAAAATAAATAAATAAACGCTCGTGGAGAGCTTATCACCACACTGAAAACGTTCACGTTAAAATGTTAGATTAGACGAAGCTGCACCCGCAATTGGCTGTGGATGAAAATAGGGGACGTTTCTCTTCAGCGGGACGGCAAGGACGCAGGCCCGGCCCAGAGTGTGTTCACGGCGGAGAATCTTCGTCAGGGGAGACACTCCTCCATCTGGTCACACTGTGCCCCCAAGCCCTTTGACACGCCATTCGCTAGGAGGGGATAGAAGCCGAGAAGGGAGTCATGTATGGTCCATGGAATTCCTGTTCCCCTGGGGATGGGTGAACAAGTCCTGCTGTCTTTGTTCAGCAGATCTCACACCAGCATTAGCAATCGGGAGGAACACACCCACCCAGACTCACGGGTGGATTATCCAATAGGCAAGGTAAGCACGGTGCTGACCTTGCTTACCAGATCATCTGTTGTGAACAATTTCACACTTTTCACCACATCAAAGATTCTGCTTCTAGGTATGGCTGGCATCTGTCTCTCTCCCAACCCGACAGCACCTTCCTGCAGAATCAAAGCCTCTTTTTAAATGTACAACCCCTGACAGGGGCGGATTATCCAGTAAGTAAGGTAAACGCACGGAGACCCGTTTGAAATTGTTCACTATAGATTAGAAAGTACGTACAAGTAAGCCCATGTTTACCTTGCTTACTGGGTCATCCGCTCTGCCCAGAGGTCAACTTTGGTTCTGATAAGGAATCTACCTGGTGGGCAAACAGATCCCAGGTGGGAAATTGTTCTGCCATTTTATGTTGCCCAATGCCACCAGTTGTTAACCCGAAATCTAACCCAGAGATGGGGCTGCCCTCCACCGACAGCTCCAGATTCTCTGTGTGAGCCACACGAGCACGCACTCGGGGAGGTTGAACGCTGAGACCGGAAATGTTGCAAATTACGTCTTTCCTCCTCGGAACATTTTACTGAACCCTTGCTGGCCCTAACCATGTGTCATGGATTGAATTGTGTCCCCCCAAAATGTGTGTCAACTTGGCTAGGCCATGGTTCCCAGTATTGGGTGACTGTCCACCATTTTGTCATCTGATGTGATTTTCCTGTGTTGTAAACCCTACCCTCTATGATGTTAATGACGGAGGATTAGAGGCAGTTATGTTAAGGATGCGGGACTCAATCTACAGGATTAGGTTGTGTCTTGAGTCAATCTCTTTAGAGATATAAAAGAAAGAAGACAGCAGAGAGACAGGGGCACCTCATACCACCAAGAAAGTAGTGCCAGGAGCAGAGTGTGCCCTTTGGACCTGAGGTCTCTGCGCTGAGATCCTACTCCAGGGGAAGATTGATGAGAAGGACCTTCCCCGAGAGGCGACAGAGAGAGAAAGCCTTCCCCTGGAGCTAGTGCCCTAAATTCAGACTAGCCTCTTACACTGTGAGAGAATAAACTCGTGTTTGTTAAAGCCGTCCCCCTGTGGTATTTCTGTTATGGCAGCACTGGATAACTAAGGCATTATCCTTCCAGGTTTGAACAGAGAGCGAGAGATAAGCTAGTTAGGAAGACGACTGAGAAACCCTCTGTCACATCATGAGCTACAAATCTGGGACATAACTCAAGGGAATGAATAAAAAAACACAAGAGTGTCCAGGATTGGGGGTTAGCGGCCATACCCCGCTCCTCTGCGGTGAGGACCCCAATATTCCCGAGTGCCCTTCTCCATGAGTTATCACACCCCCACGGCACAGGGCTGGAAAGTCTCGTTTCACATGAATTTGATATACTGCACTGCGCCTCTCTCCCAGGGGACAAAAAGGGCCGTGACTTCTATTTTACGGCAGGGGAAGCCAGGTGAGCTTCAAGGGCTTCTGGATATGTAAACTTAAACAAACAGACAAATTCTGGAGGGATTTTTGGGAAATTTGAGAACTACTTTTAATCAAGTAGGGAGCTAACGGTGTTGTCTTTGACGTAACACGAGCTATAAAAATAAAGCAACATTGTATATAACTAAAGGAGTTCTGTGTTAAGTCAAGCTGAGCGCCGCGTGCAGTAACTTACCTACTCTGGAGCCTCTTTTCAGAGCCCCAAGCCCTTCCCACGCTGATGATCACAGGTCTGTGCGGTCGGTGAGAACAGGGAGACGTTTTTGCTCCTGCTAACTGAAGGACAGAAAACGCAAATGACTTGCCAAGGACAAACCGCGTGTGAGAGACACCAGCTCTCCAGCTTCTCACCCGGGACTGACCCATCCAGTTATATTTCCTCAACTATGGATCTGCAGTAACCCCTGGGTTTTCAACTTAGCCGTTTAATCTGCGTCATAGCTTGGTATGAAGACTGCTCTCTCTGGCTTGTGAATTTACTTTGCTGCTTTGTAATGTGAAATAGCAGAAGGAAATCCTGGGAAACACACTCTATCATAAACCCTGCAGCAATCCTGCCGGGACTTTGTCCTGGCTTGGAGCCCCTCTTTCTCCAAGGCCCTGTAATAATAGTTATTATCACCTAGATCCCAAGTAGTTCTCACAAAAAAGGCAGTTGAGGAAGCGCTCTGTCCTCAGGAGTATGAGTCTTTGCGGTCAGAACCCCGAGGCTCTGCTTCTTGTCTCCTGCCCCAGAGAGTGTTGGAGACCTTCCTGTAGGAGTAGCGGAGAGTCGAGTTGGAGAAGCAGTAGATCACAGGGTTGAGGACGCTGTTGAGGTAGATGAGGCTGTTGGCCACATCGGAGGTGTGCTCCACCACTCTCCGCATCTGGCAGCTTTCTGACCTCCAGAAGATGTCCATCAAGATCCTGGCCAGGATCCTGGGCAGAAAGCAGAGTCCGAACAGGACCATCACCATGGTGATCAACGCCTTGGCTCTTTGCAGCTTCGGCTGCTTCTCCGGGTCTCGGAGCCTCTTCTGGAGCATTCTGATGATCCCAGCATTGCAGAGCAAGATGAGGCCGAAGGGCAGAAGAAACTGGAGGAAGAAGACAGCCTCCTGCCAGACGCTGAAGGAGAATTCTTCCCGGGGGTAGGAGCTGCGGCATTCCGTGCTGTTCCCGGCAGCCTCGGGGACCAATAAGCTTTGGTGGGTGAGCACCACCATGAGCAGCCAGACACAGCCTGAGATGACCCAGGCCCACCGAGGCGAGAGGAGGTTGACCTTGAGATGAGGGTGGAGCACTCGGAAGTAGCGATCCAAGGCCACAGCGGTCAGGAAGGCGACCCCTACCCCGCAGCTGAGGGACAGCAGGAAGAGCAGGGCTTGGCAGGACGTGTCTCCGAAGCTCCACGTCTTGCGTCTCTGGTAGAAGGTGATGTGGAAGGGTAGGCAGACGGTCAGCAGGAGGCTGGCAATGACCAGGTTGAACAGGTAGACCGAGTAAGGCTTCCACACCTTGAGGCGGAAGGAGAAGGTCCATAGGGCAATGACATTGGTCAGAAGGCCCAGCCCAAACTCCAGCGTCAGCAAGGCGATCACTAACGATTCTATCACGTCATTGTGGAAGGAGCATTTCAGGGGAGCCATTTCTCAGGTGATCTGCTACTGGACACCGCTCTAAAGCAGCAACGCACAGAGAAATAGACTTTTAGCTGTGCTTTTTCCCACAAAAGGAAAGAAAAAGTCTTGTCCCAGTCGTGGTGCAGACAAGTTCTGCATTTACTCCAGGAGACAAAGTACTGAAGCAGCATCAGCGTAAACTTACAAGCAAACAAAACTTGTTCGGGAAAGTAGGCAGGGGGCGGAGGGGGAGCTTGCAGTTTTATTTTCTTTTGGTTTTGCCCTAAAAAAGGGGAAACTGTGTCATTTCCCGTCATCTGGGCTACAGTTGAAGCGATAATGTCATGAGAACATCTCAGTGAAGGAAGCTGTGTGTTCGCAGCTGTTGAAAAGGGAACTCAAAAATCTCACTTACACGAAAGCTTCTTCCTATGCCTTCATAAAATGAAAACAAAGACTGAAATGAAGGGCTTGTTCATCAGACTGAATGTGTTCCGGGGGCCATTTTCTTCTTCCATTGCCTGGATGAAGGACATTTACTGAGATCCTTCGGCACGGGGCTGGATTGCACATTTGGGAGCCAGAAGCAGTTCCTATTTGCTGGAAAGAGACTTCGAGAAGCCTGGTCATTCCTTAGCCGGCCTTTCTCCCTTGCTCTTTTGTTTTGGCAAAAGCTTTATTCCTTCTGGGGTATTTCCCCTCATCTCCTATACTGCCTGGACTAGCTCCCCGCCCTTGGGAACTGGGCTGGGCCCTGGAGGCATTAGCAAAATCAATGCTTGGTCCAGACGCATAGAATCTTGCGGAAAGTGAGCTCCGTGAGGCCAGGGACGTGTTCTCCCGTGTCATTGCTGAGTCTCCAGTGTCAGAAGTGACTCCTGGCCCAGAGTGGGTACTCAAGGACTGAGGTAGCCCTGCTTCCCGGCTGGGAGCCCTGCTCACCTGGGTTCTGGCAGCCTGGCAGTGTGGCAGCGTGGCAGCCTGGCAGTGGGGCAGCGGGGCAGCGGGGCAGCGGGGCAGCGGGACAACGGGGCAGCGGGGCAGCATGGCGGTGGGGCAGCCTGGCAGCAGGGCAGCATGGCAGCAGGGCAGCGTGGCAGTGGGGCAGCAGGACAGCATGGCAATGGGGCAGACTGGCAGTGGGTCAGCGTGGCAGCATGGCAGCGGGGCAGTGTGGCGGTGTGGCAGCAGGGCCTGGGCTCTGGAGTCCAGTGGATTTCAGTTCTCGTTCTAGTTTCTCCACGGGGCAGCAGAGTGGGTTTGGGAAAGAAACTCAACTTTGTTGAACCCCAGTTTCCTCACCTCTGAAGTAGGGGTGATCAGACCCCCTCCAAGGGTGTGAGACCCCAGCTGGGGACATCGAGGGGCTTGGTGCATCTTGTAGCTATTAGCCTCTAGGTGACCCTAGGACTTCTGGAAACCCTCTCCTGTCTACACTGACACGTCCATGAGCTTTTGCATCACATATCATTTCTACTGGGGTTCGACGCCTTTCCTTCTGAGAGCTAATGTTAGAGCTTTACAAAAGTCTCAATAATCATCATCACTAAAGGTGATGCATGTTTGCTAGGTGTCAGCCACTGTCGTGTGGTATCAATGGGCCTCTCGACAATGAGATGAAGTAGGCACAGTTATCATCTCTATTCTACGCATGAAGAAATGGAGGCCAGGTAATTTGCTCATGGTCAGCAGACTACTAAGTGGGGGGACCAGGATCCTCACACCCCGATTTGGACCAGGCTTCTCCTGGCCACGCTGCTCACTGCAGACCCACAGGAAACACTGCTAATGAAACCGGCTTCCACTCCCTAGTTAGTAAAGTCCACCTCTTTAGAAGCCTGCCAAGACTACTTATCTGTGTATTATCCTGTGTCCTACGGCCGCCATAACAAAATACCACTGTGGGTGGCTTTGAAGAACAGAGATTTATCTCTCATAGTTCTGGAGGCCACAAGTCTGAATTAAGTTGCTGTCGAGTCAACTCTGACTCATTGCGTCCCCGTGTGTGTCAGGCTAGAACTGTGCTCCATAGGGTTTTCATGGCTGAATTCGCAGAAGTCGATCTCCAGGCCTTTCTTCCAAGGCACCTCCAGGGACTCCCATGTTGGCCCTACTTCCCAAGCTAAGTTCTGTAAGCCCTCACTCCTGTAGTCTATTTTTACCTCTGGCCCTGGGGAGGTTGAGCTCCTGGGACTGGCAGGCCTGGTCATTTCCAGGGGAAACGAAATCATTTTAAACAAAAGATGGGCATAGACAGAACTCTGCCCCATCTCAGGGGTTAGAGTTCACTAATGTGCCTCTTCCCAGGGTGGTCCTGAGGCCATGATTGAATTATGATTTGGTGAAAAAGATTTTTGCAACCCCAGAACGTGCCTACCATGTGAATACAGTCCCAGGAGAGACTTACTGATGCAATCTGCAATTTCATACATAAGGAGTAATTTGAACATAATTTTATTGTTGTACTAAACATTATTTAAATCCTACAAAATAAACCCCAAGTCAAATAATTCTACTGGAACTCCAATACTGTGTCAAAACATAAAACGTGCAAAGGTGTTTCTTATTGAAAAAAAAAAAAAACTTGCTCCCTCCCCCCATTTTTTTAATACAGGGTTAAAATTGAACATAAAGTTTCTAACTCCTAAGGATGGAAAACTCCTAAATGTATTTTCCAAAGTGGATCCTCAAGAGGAAAAAGTAGACAGAAGTAAAAGCGAGTCCCAGTTGTCAGTACAGCAAGACCAGGGTTTAGAAGGTGTTCTTCTTGAGGTTAATTGCTTCTTGAGAAATTGATTTCACATTAAAAAAAATTACACTCCTTATATATCTTTTGTGTGTGAAACTGACAATTTTTAATTATATTTTATTCATTCACTCGTTTGCTCATTCAGCTAGGTTTACTGCGCACCTTGTACCTGTCCAGGGCGACTGTGCCTGAGGCTCCGTTCCAGACGGACAATGGAGAGCCAGCAGATCGGTCAGGTGGCCGCAGGGGCTATGAGATGGGTGGGAGCGTGGAGAGTGTGCTTTAAGTCGATGGCTCGTGAGGGCTGGCTTAGTCTCCTAGGGCTGCTGTAACAGAAATACAAGGGAGTGGCTTTAAAGAACATTCATTCTCTCACAGATCTGGAAGCTAAAAGTCCAAATTAGGGGCTCGTCTGTGTCAATTCTTCCGTGAGCTTCTTTCTTAGATTCTGGCGTCTCTCGGTGATCCTTGGCATTCCCTGGGATCCCTTGGAGTTCCTTGATCTTTTCATAACTCAGAAAGGATTAGGGGTAGGACCCACCCTACCTGAGAAAAGGAGCCCTGGTGGTGCAATGATTAAGCACTTGCTGTTTACTGAAAGGCTGGCCGTTTGAACCCACCCCAGTGACTATGTGGGAGAAAGACCCAGCAATCTGCTCCCATAAAGATTACGGCCTGGGAAACCCTATGGAGCAGTTCTACTCTGTCACATGGGGTCGCTCGGAGTCGGAACCGACTCAACGGCACCTAACAACAGCATGTAGAACATGATAAACCTGCCTCTATGTTCTTTGTACTTTTGTTTATAAAAAATCATTTTGCACATTTTTTTCTGTCCCATGATATGAAATTACCAGTGTTTCAAACCTGTTTGTTCCGCTTGGAACCCCTGCTGAGAATTTGCTTTTCTAACCAGTTCCCAGGCAATGCTAAGGCTGCTGGTTACGGACCAGTTCTGAGAACCACTAGTAAAGCCGGGGTTCTCAGAATTTATAGTACATAAGAATCCCCTGGGGATCTTGTTAACATGCAGATTCTGATTCAGAATCTAGAGATGGAAATGCAAATTCTCAGCAGGGGCTTGCACTGAATGACCCCGGTTTGAAGCCCTGGAAGTTACAGAGACCGTCTTACGGTGGCAGACACAAGCAGGCTGTGGAGATGAGGTCTTCCATCCCAGCCTGGTGGCTTTGCGAGTCTAGGTGCAGCAAGCCAAGTGTCGCTCGCTGACTCTTGGCAGTTAATTCTTGCAAGTGATAGATTTTGGACAGCGATCAAAATTGCTTTGCTTTCTATTAAATGAAACTTACCTAAAATGGGGCTAAGATCAGGAAGACAGATGTGCTGTATTATCAACCCCCAGATCTTTACCTTTTCTGTTAGTCACCTTACCCTACCTTGGAGCAGCTGGAGGGGTTCAAACGGCCGACCTTTGTATTAGCAACTGAGTGTTTAACCATGGAGCCACCAGGATTCCTTCCAGCAGACAGTGCTCATCATAAATTATCTCCCATGAACGAAGACGGGAGAGAACACAACCAGGACCAGAGTCCCCTGTCTCCTCTCCCAGTGAGGATGAGAACTCAGAATCCGGAGGAAAGGTTAGCAAGGGGTTAGCTGCATATTGATTTATAGATGGTAAATAAAGTCTCCTATGCTTGGGGGCATATAGTTTGTTCTTATTAAGGGAATTACCTTGCTAGGCATAGTTACTAGTGTTGTTTTGAAATTATTTTCTCAAAGGTCATCAGTAACAACAAACGATCTTCTACTGAATCAGAATCACAGCTTTTTAGAGCTCAGAACGATCTTAGAGATCAACCCAAATCTCTCATTCTTCGGACAAGGAAACTGAACCCCTGACCTTGACCGAGTTCCCCTGGTAAGGTCGTTTCTTCTTCTGGCATCTTTCTAGATGTCATGAGTTGCTTTGTGTTCAAGTCCTAACACCTGTACCTGTGAATGTGACCTTGTTTAGCAATAGAGTCTTTGCAGATGTAATTAGTGAGGTTGACAATAGGTCATTATGGAGGAGGATGGGTCCTAACCCAATCTGCCTGGTGTCCTTGTAAAAGAGGAGAAGAGACAGAGTCACGTGTGAGGACGGCCTTGTGAATATGGACGCAGAGATAGGAGTGACGCGGCCACAAGCCAAGGAGTGCTCAGGTATACCAGAAGCTGGAAGAGGCCAGGGAGGCTCTTCCCCTGGAGCCTTTAGAGAGAGCACGGCCCTGCTGACACCATAAGTTGGGACTTCCAGCCTCTAGAACTGAGAGGGAATGAACTCCTGTTGCTTTAAACTGCCCACTCTGTGGTATTTTGTGACAGCAACTTCAGGACATTCAGACACTAGCATCTGCAGATGCAGCCGATGCCGCTGGCCACACACCTCCTACAACGCTGTGGCCTTGGAGCCCGTGGCCCCCTGGCTCTCTGA